TGATGCACCTATATCGCACAGCAGTGGCGATCGTAGAAAATGGCGGCCGGGATTCCCGTGGATTGTAACATACCTACATTTATGCGGTCACGTCGATGCATCGGATCGTTTTCCATTGAATCGATACATCGATACAAATCGATGCATTGTTACACCCGTAGTTGCCAGCCCTGTTTAATCCACACATCACTTAAATAGAACCACTCCTGTAATGTGGAGTTGGATATGGGGTCTCAAGAAGGAGCACACCACGCCTCAATCAAAAGAACTTTCTGAAGACATGAGAAAGAAAGTTATTGAAATACACCAGTTAGGAAAGGGGTACAGAGCACTCTCTAAAACCCTTGGACATCAGTGAACCACCATGAGAGCCATAATCTGCAAATGGAAAAAAATGGAACTGTAGCAAATCTGCCCAGGAGTGGCTGGCCCTGAAAATTCATAGAAAACTCTTCAGGGAAGTCATAGCAGACCCCAGACAAACATCTAAGGAACTGCATGCTTCTCTCAGGTTAGTTAATCATTGCTAAACAAGAGACACATGAAGGTGTCTAATATTTGGAAAAAAAACCACCTTGGTTACCCCAAACCTTTTGGGAGAAAGTTCCATGGACTAATGAGTCAAAAGTGGAACTATCTGGAAGACATGGGTCCTGCTACATCTGGCATATAGCTAACACTGCTTTCCACACATAACATCATGCCCACAGCCAAACATGGTGGAGGTAGTGTGTTGGTGTTTGGATACTTTGCTGCTTCAGGGCCTCGGCAACTTGCCATTATTGAGGGATGCATGAATTCAACTGTCTAATAGAAAGTACTGCAGGAGAAAATCCTGCCATCAGACCATGATATGAAGCTCAACACAAATGGGTTATTGCAGCAGGATAACGATCTGAAGCAGAAGAGCAAGTCCACCTCTGAACGGCTGGAAAAAAAAACAAAATTAAGGTTTGAAGTGGCCTAGTCAGAGTCCTGGAACCCCATTGAGGATGTTAAGTGGGCAATTCATAGTTGAAAACCCTCCAATGTGGGTGAATTAAAACAATTCTGGAGAGAAGAGTGGGTCAAAATTTGTTCTGGCATTATAATAGTTTTATGTAGTTCACTTGTAACTGGGCATTCATTGGAAGCTCAGCTTAGCCACACTTATGCCTATTTGACTCCTTGACAGCTGTCTGTTTGTTTTGTTCTAGTTGCATCACTTGTTTGTCACTTTGGACAAAAGCATCTGCTAAATAAAAGTAAATTTAAACATAAATGTAGACTCCTTGTATAAGAAAAATGGGCCAAACCCAAAATTGTAAAATATTAAGCTTGTAGTGGGCTTAACCATAAAACATTGGTCAGATAATTAGCAAGAATTAAGCAAACATCTTCCCATGATCTGGGCCACCGTTTGCCCATCAAGGAAATTCACTTGTATAATCTGCTTGTATGCAAAGAAAAAAATCATGAAAAGATTTAAATGTTTAATATAAAATTCAAACTAACACATGTTTGGGTGTTCTACATTTTTTAAATGAAAATGCAGTTTCCAGAGCTTTCAGTGCAGAGTAGAGTAACTTCCAATTCCTGCACAGGCTTCCAGCTTAATGCTTCTCTGCAGTTACGGGAAAGAGACGGACATGCCAAAGATACCGATTAGTTCAGGTTTTCAAAATAATCAGAAGGTTTCACATTCTGACAGATGCATTCTGCCACGTTCCTGACATTTGTCTTTGTTAGATAAAGTTTCTATTTTACCACTTCCTCACACCTGTGTAGTGATTACACTGGGGCCCCAAACTCAAATACCCTGAGGGCCTCTGGACAGGAGGTGTTCAGCCACCTGAGCTGCTTTTTTTAAGCTGAGAATAACATCAACAATCAGCTGATCAGTGCCTGTACTGAGAGGTGGAGTGGGGGTTTCGGCAGTGAAGATTGTGGATGGGGGGTCGCCAGTGAATAGTGTGGATGGGGGGTTGGGGGTGTCGGCAGTGAAGATTGTGGATGGGGGTGATGGCAGTGAAGATTGTCAAGTATTGATAGATCATTTTTTTTGCTCTGTGCTAAACGAAAGACTGGGCTACTGGGCAGATTTTAATAGCAGAGTAATACTGCGTCATGGGCTGTATAAAAGCACCTTTGAGTGCCGCTGCTGCGAGACCCTCTGGCTTAAGCCATCTCTGGACAGCGCGTCCCATTTCAGTCAACTCTGCAATTTCAAGTGTCTCATCAATTGTTTTGTTCCGCAGTACCTTATGTGGTCAGTCTGTTGTGAGTACAAAACAGTTGGCAGTAGAACAATGCACTGTATAGCAATTTTGGAAATATTTGACACAGTCATCCTGAAGTGCAGTAGAGTGCATGCAGTGTTTAAATACAGAATTCCCCTAAACTTATTCCCTTTCTGTCCTTTTCTCAGAGTCTCCCCGCTTGTCCACTGGCTCGTCTTTCAGTAGCGAATGCCTGTCCACCAGCACCGTGTCAGAGAGCTCTGTCCTGATTGGTGGGGACCTCCCTGATAATGGCCGTCCTGTGAGCCTTGTTTCCACCTTATCCTCAAGTTCAAGCTCTTCCAAAGAGGAGCACTGTCTCTACAGAAGCTCCACACAGAGCATAGACCTGGAGCCAGGCCCTGCTGGCAAGGAGCGGCCAGCCGGCCTTGAGGAGGGCAGTGCAGAGGGAGCTGTTCAGAAGAACAATAAGACCGTGGCCCCACTCTGGGCTGATCAGTCCATCCAGGTCCCCTGCTCATCCCCCGAAGCCCAAACCATGGCTCCCAGCCCCCAGATCACGTACCTTGACCGGGTTGTTATGGAGATTGTGGAGACGGAGCGCATGTATGTGAGGGATCTGCGCGGTATTGTGGAGGTGAGTCACTGTGCCTGAAAAGTGCATACAATTCATGGGGATCATTGTTTTCCACAGTGTCCTCTTTTACACCATAGAGAATTTAAAAACACAGATATACACTCACCTAAAGGATTATTAGGAACACCTGTTCAATTTCTCATTAATGCAATTATCTAATCAACCAATCACATGGCAGTTGCT